GGTCTTGTGTCGCTAAAGTTTCGTCGGAACGAATTTACGGAAAATTAACTAACGACTGGAGGCGTAACAATACGTTTGTAGCTTTGTAAAGTATATGTATTTAATTTGGATTATTTATGTTTAATTTAAAATCGCTATTTGAATTTTTTTTATAGATTATCAGTAAAATTGTAAACTGAAGAGCGACGTTTGAAGTCACGAAACCGGTTGAAGAAATTAATAAAGGAGAGGAAAAAATAGAATAGTCTGATATTCCAGTGTTTTGTTATTCGTATCCACAAATGAATATATATTCACTGTAACTTAGCATCTCTATAAATTTAGTATTGCATCGATAATTTTATACATTCATTGTAACTTAGCATCTCTATAAATTTAGTATTGCATCGATAATTTTATACATTCATTGTAACTTAGCATCTCTGTTAATTTATTATTGCATCAATAATTTTGATATGTACAAACTTAGTTAGCATAAAATTACGTAGATGCATTATTCACGCCTTCAACTGATATTTTTCTTTTCTGTGAAGTTTAGGTGATAAAGAGATTTAACATTACAAGTAACATAAACTGCTTCTGTTTGCTTTCAGCCATCTAATCATACGTCACATCGTCATTCAGCTTACGTGACCTAATTTAGTTTTATAGAAATGTTATTTATACGTTCAATGCAGATACGTCGATCACCTATCTGGGTTGCCTTGTTCTAGGTGTTATTACTTATATAACCGAAATATCCATAAATATGTACTTTTATATAGTAATATCCCACATTCCAGCTATTATCTAAGTATTATTCCGTAGCAACATACAGAATCAGAAATACAAATCAATTATGCAGGCTGTGTTTTTATTTGTGTATTTTAATGTAAATCTGCACATAGAACTTTAAAGAAATATGATACTACTATTAAACATGCAAGCAAAAATCTATTAAAAAGCCAATGACTGATACGCTGATCTTCCTAAACAGAATAATGTATAACTTTTTTTCCTGTCAGGCAGAAATTATCGAATTTCTAACAACTGTCAGAAATCAATTTTAATAAAACGATATTCTTCCTATAAAGGTTTAATTCATAGCATTTCAAATCTAAGTACTGTAAATTATTTTTTTGCATAACACAACTTATTCACAGAGTATAAACTTAACAGAAAAAACAACAACTTGTTTTTCACTCATAAATTTTCAACACACTCATATTTTAAGCATATATTTCACGTTATCGTTAAAGAAGAAAATAATTATCAATCTAAATTTGGGGATTTTATATCATAAAATCTCTCTGGTGGTTCTCGAATTAAGAATGATATTTTCTGCTTCTTCCTGACGTAAAAAAAAACCTTATGTTTATGCTAGTTGTCATAAAGCAACTGCAATCTAAACACATTTTATTAAATTTCGAATACGACACTATATTTTAATTTCAATAGTTTCAAGCAAATATTAAAATATATTGCAGTTAGAAAGAGTTGTTAATGCGTTTCCTCACCTGCCCCTGGTCTCCTTCTACACTGGTTAGTTCTTTCCACTCTTCAATAGTTTGAGCCAAATCTACCGAACTCAACGAGAGTTTAATCTCACCTATTTGGTCGTGTTTCGAGAATCGATCAAAATCAAAGACAGCAAATACTAATGTTTTAGCGGTTATTTCAGAGTAAGGGATCTGAATGAAAAACAGAGAAGCCACGTGTGAAACGATATATTATTACCAAATATATATATATATATATATAATAATAACTTCCAACATATGCATTGATAATGTTTTAACCATATTATAGGCTTCTTGGATAATGAATAAAATTGATTTATGTATAAGAAATAATAGCCCTAGTTAAATGTGACTTGTTTCGGGGAATATATATATATCTGAGTCTATGCTCTTAATAATCTGATACACTGTTTACAAAATATAATCATAAAAGTGTAGGACATAGTAGTGGTGAACAACAGTGTGTTAGTTTTAGCCAACCCAAATAATGCACTAAGTTGCCAGTTGTATGGGTGAAATAAACTTCGATTTACAGTTTAAACTTGTTATTGTTTTAAACTCAAATGAATAAAATTTCATTAGTTCATCTGGCTTGATATAAAATTGCTTTTAATGCTTTTATCGGTCACTAGGTGCCCACTAGTGTAATTTGTCCTCTATATCCTTAAAGTACAGTTAAGCATCTTCAAGTGAGATAAAATTTAAAACATGGCTGACAAAAAAAATGACCCTTTTAAATACGATTGAATTCAAATCTTTTTGCTCTATCCCAACGTAAAAAGGGTTTTCATGGAAATAAATCTAACTCAAAATAATAAGGCAGAGATGAAACTACATCAAAACAATATACTTAGCACTCAGTTGCTATTTCATACTAAGCTAACTGTGGTATGTTTTCGTAGTTTTACACAACTATAAATGGAATCATCTTCAATATAGTAAACAGTTGAAATGATTAGTAGTTGTTGCATACATAGTGACAAAATACTAGTACCGTACATGTTAGGTTTTCATATACGTATCTGTAAGTTTTTCTTATATTTTAGGGTATATATTATACACACACACACACCTTAAAGTTGAAGGTTTCGTTAAAAACTGGATTTAATGTCTTCCGGTGAACTTTGGTCTCGTATTTTTTCTTTTTGTCCGGTAACAGATAAATCTTGACATACGGATCCGATGTACCAGACAAGTCCATACCAGGAAGATCCTCGGCCTGGATCACTGTTACTGCCAGCTGAAATGAAATATAGCTATCATACAGATTGAAATTAAAATCAATAAAAGTAAAAATATACTATAGTAAATTTTAGTTTTTAGGGCGTTTGTATAACTTACAATCTCGCATAGTACACACTGGCCTATTAGGGTTTTTTCGGTGTTCAGTTTTTGTATCGCCTTACAATTTTAAAAATGAGATATAGCTAAAAAAATATATACAAAGATAAGTTGATCTTTTATTTGCCTCATTTAATCAAATAAACTACAAAATGATATCGCAAAAATCTACCAGAAGACATAAATGTAATATAATTTGCAGTGCATTTCATAGTTTTTCAAGACTTCTTTAATAATTTCAGAAATGGACTCGATGAGGCGCTGAAGTCAAGTGATCCTTTAAATATCTCCAAGCTCTTCAATCTAACATTATTCAGCAGGTTTCGTTCGAGGTTATGAAGTAAAATTGGGTAATTGTAGGTTGATGCAAAACTTTTACCCATTATGGTTCTGCGAGTTGGTATCAAGTGTTAACTCATGCTAAGTAAAAAGTTATAAATGACTGGATTTTATGTTATTTCCATCAAATTTAGATAATATTGTCGTTAAATTTATTAGTAAGATTTTAATTATTCGCTAACATATTTATTCTCTTACTTCTTTGTTAATTTCAATTATTTTTATATCTATTCTCTGTTTAGAGACATCGGTACGTGTATATATCACATTTTACAATATAATTAATTACGTGGCCTTTCAAATAATCTCTTCTGTATAGTTTGTTCTTGTAATCACCGACATTATTCTACAAGGAATTTTCATGGACAACGCGGCTTTACAGTTGAGCTCAACTCACGAATCTTAAGAAGCATGGCATCAGAAAAGAATTACGCTGTGTTGATGTTCAGTTATACGAAAACACGGGGAGACTTCTCTTATAACAAGCAATTTTAAAAACTTGTTTATGGGCCATGGTTTATGATTGAATTCAGTGAGTTTGCAAGTACTTTAGAGCTTACAGAGTTACTTCTGATGGATAAAATTGAAAGCTTCATATTTCTCAGCTATGGAGGTATTAATTTTGTTTTTGAGGTTTGTGAAAAATAAGTCCCTCCTTTCTCCAGGATTTAATCTATTAAAATAGGTTCTGAAATATTCTCGCAAAGACTTAATCAAAAATACTAAAACAAGGAAAGTAGTCCTAATCCGTAGTGTGAATTGAGTTACGTAGCTCAAGAGACAATAATTGGAACCCTGCCAAAATAGTTGGGTAAATCCTAATTGGTTTCGGTCTTACCGTAGCACAACACGAGATCAACGAAGTAGCCTAACTGTCACAAACAACTGCTAGTTTCTTTCTGTTAGTGAATCATCTCTAACTAAATAACTTGTGGAATTGATTAAATGACACTTTTAGAATGATCAAAGGTGCCGCAATAGTAGTAGTTCTGAACAATGATATATATGGAAGAAGATATAATGAAAAAATAAATGTGAAATGTCTTTAACATTTGAATTGGTATACACCCTGGTCTTGCCATGATAAATTATAATCATTTAACTGCTCTGCAGAAATGTTCGAGGTAATTATTCAGCAGTTTGTGTTATTTTGTATTATAACACCAATGATAGGTTCACTCATTAACGTGAATACCAGAGTGATCGTTAATATCACATTAAAAATTAGAGCTGTTTTGATTACGAAACCGAAAGGTTGGCCAAAAGTATAAATTTCGAGGTGTAATAAAAAATTGCTTACCATAGACATTCTAGAATTTTATATTTACTTAAAAAGTGGTATGCTCTCACTTTTTGTAAGTTTGTGTAATTACATTTTACTCTTTTCAAAATACGTTTTATTTTTGCTCAATTAATAAACACTATAGATACTGTATGGATTCCGAGGAAATATATCAAAGAAAACAAATGTTAGAAAACATTAATACATAAAAACAGTCTGTATATAAAGATCAAACTACCAGAATTTTTATATCGTGATATATTATTTTATATTTACCTCATGGTACGCAGATCTTTTTTAAAAGTTATGATTAAAACGCGTGATTTATTGAAATTAGTCAGTTTGAAAGAAGTACAAAATAATCAAGAATTCTGAAAAACAGAACCTGGTAAGACGAATAATCGTTAGCAAAATAGACGAACACAGCTTCAACAAGGACATATTTAGAATATTTTACTAACATTATTGGTACTGAAGTCGTAGTCGAGCTTATACTGAAGACGACCTAGTTTAACCTCTGACTTAGCACTTTCTTCGTCTTGTCCTTCATTAACCTCCATGTTGGTTGGAAGTTCCTCCATGTCTGGCTGTACCTGTAAACATGTGGAAAATAGAACACCTGAAAATCATTCAAAACCATTGCTTACATGTCAATAAACAAACAACTTAAACATTTGTGTAAACTTTCTTATAAATTAACATCATAACATCTATATAAAGAGTAAAATGTCATTCTGTAACATCCTTGTATAATAAGAAACGTGTGTAAAAATATCATTGTTTATATAATTCAATCACGTGAATACCAGAACATTTATGAAGGTAAAGGTAAATAAATATTACTTAAAACAATTATATATTAAAACCTAAACACGTGTAAACAATAAAATACTTTACTGAATTAAACATTCTCACTTATCAACAAAATAATATCATTACACCTTAAAATGTCATCCTGTAAACATCCTTAAACAACAAAAAACGAACACCAACAAATGTCAAATCATCGTTGTTTAAACAATTCTTACATTTGAAGAACAAAACATTCGTAAAAAATAAATAAAATTACATTAAAATATTACTTTAGAATAATGCTTGTAAATATCAGTACTTAAATAGTTTTACATATGAATAAAGGGCGTCTGTACGTAAACATTAAATTCTTATTACTTCGTATATATATATTAAAAAATATCGTGAACAATAATGTACATTACTCAAACATCATCACTATTAAAATATCATTATTACTTAAAGTTTCTTAAATATTTATATGAGAGTACATGTAAACGTTAAGGTACTATCGCCTCATTTCTTTACACACAAACAAAATAAAATCGACAGCAGCTAATACAATTGCTAAAACTAGATGTACTTCCACAGAGTCCCCAAAGGTATTCTGTTTTAAGAGCAAATATGACCAAAACTAAGAGTAACAAATGTTTTCCTTATTAGACTTTTGAATTTCATATGTCTTGTTGTGTTGTAGCTACATAATACATAATTACCCTCGCCCCCGGACGAGGGGGGGCAGGGTATTGCAATCGGGTCCGTGTGTGTGTGTGTGTGTCTATTTCTCTCTATTTCCTCGCACGTTTCTCGAAAACTAACTTGACCGG